ACTGACACAGCTTCACATCTTGTGTTGGGGATGGATCACAGGCTGAGTCAGAGGACACCTGAGAATACAGTGGCCGAGCCTTCAGCCCCGTCCCTAACAGAGGACTTAAAATTATACTCTAGAGAGTTGATTCAGATGGCCAAAGCACTGGATCTCGAATACCTGTCCTCGGAACCCCAACCCAGCAACCCAATTATGAAGGTTCTGTATTCTGACTCTGGTCCTGTTGCCTTGCCCATGCTTCAGGGTATACAGGATATTGCAATGGGCATCTAGTCCAAACCAGCCCATTGCAGCTTCTGCGAAGAAGCTCAAGAACCTATATAAAGTCAGAGAAGAAGAATGTGCATACCTTTTTCAACATCCGCAAATGAACTTCCTCATCTCAGAAGTCTTGCCAGCTAAAGGTAGAGCGGGAGCCCACTTGTCACCAATTGATAAGGAGAGCCGCAGATTGGACTGTTCAGGTCACAAGGTCTACTCAACAGGTGCAATGGGACTCTGGGTTGCAAATTTTACCACCATCATTTGTTTAGATTAGATACTGATCATGCTGATATAGCAAACATGTTTGTGTACATATGACCATACTATGACTGTAAATGTGAGGATTTGTATGTATAAAATAGCTATCACAAATAGGAATTGTTGTTGTTGTTCAGTCGCACAGTCGAGTCCGACTCTTCGTGACCCCATGGATCATCTCCCGCCAGGCCCTTCTGTCTTCCACCGTCCTCTGAAGTTGGCTCAATTTCATGTTCGTTGCATCGATGACACTGTCTAACCATCTCATCCTTTGCCGTCCCCGTCTTCTTTGACCTTCAATCTTTCCCAGCATCAGGGTCTTCTCCAGGGAGTGCTCCCTTCTCATTTGGTGGCCAAAGTATTTGAGCTTCAGTTTCATTATCTGGCCTTCCAGGGAACAGTCAGGGTTGATTTCTTTTAGGATTGACTGATTTGATCTTCTTGCAGTCCAAGGGACTCTCAAGAGTCTTCTCCAGCACCATAGTTCAAAAGAATCTATTCTTCGGCGCTCGGCCTTCCTTATAGTCCAACTCTCGCAGCCATACATGACTACTGGGAATACCATTGCTTTGACCATGCGGACTTTTGTTGGCAGGGTAATGTCTCTACTTTTTATCATGCTGTTTAGGTTTGCCATCGCTTTCCTCCCAAGGAGCAGGCGTCTTTTAATTTCATGGCTGCAGTCACAGTCTGCAGTGATCATGGGGTGGTACCAAATGTTGTTATGGGACTGCATGGTTCAGTTTGTTGACCTACTCCTGTATGACAAAAAAACCTGTTGCCAAGGTATTGCTCAAAAGTTGGGGAAGCAACAGTTAAATGCAGCCATACATGTGACCAACTGCCTCAGCAGAGCCATAGCTTCTGGTATTGTCCTCAGAAGACATTCCTGGCTGAGATCTTCTGCATTCCTCTAAGACACTAGAGCCAAAATAGAGGACATTTGAAGATCTAGAACTGTTCAGCAACCAGATGGATGACATCTTGGATCGCATACACAAAAATAAAACAACAGCCAAGTCTCTAGGGATTACTCCAGCACCTGCTCAACCTTACAAACAGGTATTCTCGAGGCACATCCAAAAATGTCAATGCTCTAGGCTTTACAGACGTTCAGATGATAGGTTTCAGGCCCCACAAGCAGTCCTAAAGAACCTTCTATTCCCAGCAGCCTCGGAGAAGGAAAAAATCTAAACCAAGGAGAAAACACCCCCTCAGTCCCCCAGGGAGCAACACCCTAGACGCTCAGCATCTTGACTAGTGTGGGATGTTTTCTTTTTGGACTGGCTGTCCAATTTTCTTGATTTCTGGTTAAAAATTACAAATGATTCTTGGTGCTCTTGGTGAATTTGGTGATTTTCCTTTATGGAACTTAGATCTAGGTAGTCAGCTGTTTTGGTCTGGAGCAGTAGAACAAATTTAGAGTCCAGCGGCACCTTTAAGACCAACAAAGGTTTATTCAAAAGCTCATACTTTGAATAAACCTTTGTTGGTCTTAAAGGTGCCACTGGACTCTAAATTTGTTCCCTTATTGAACTGTTCAGTTATTTTCCCCTGATCCCTTAGGGCCAAAAAGCCTGTGCTGTAGTTTGATTTTCACTTCCTCTTCTGGTTGTTGGCTGTTTGTTTTTGTTCAAGCAGAGGCCAGGAAAGGCCCTGGTTTTATTCCAATACAGCTTTTTATTCTTCTGGCATGGTGTGCCATAATAATAATAATAATAATAATAATAATAATAATAATAATAATAATAATAATAATAGTTACTTCATAGAGTTTGACTCTCTTCCTTCACTTCACACAACCCCATAGTACCCTCCTTGTTACCAGTGCATACATATAGATAGAGGGTGAGCAGTAAATTAGCATAAAGCATAATGTTTGCTAATTTATTGCTCACCCTCTACCTATGTATATGGACTGGTAATTTCCATTTCATTGTATCTGAAGAGGTGTGCATGCAAATGAAAGGTCATACCTTGAATAAAACATTGTTGGTGCCACTGGACTCAAAGTTTGTTCTGCTGCTTCAGACTCAACATGGCTACCCACCTGAATCTATCTTGTTGGAAGTAGTTTTCAGTCCCCAGGGCAATTCAAAGTAGCTTGAACTGATGGTCCCACTTACCAAACCTAGTTGAAGGAGTACCCTTTGGAACTAAGCCCCGCAATATATGGGTCATTATAGATGCCTTCCTGATGGGTTGGGGGGCACACTGTGGTATCCATAAAGTACGGAGGGTTGGGTCCCAGTCTGAATATAAAGCTTCACATCACAGTTTTTTTAAAATAATAATAATAATGGCTATTAGGCATGCTCTTACTTCTTTTACATCACTCTTGGACAGACAATATGTTCTCCTAGCAATAGGTAGCCACTTTTTATATAAACAAGCACAGAGGCACAGGTTCCATTTGTCTGTGCAGGGAAGCGTAACTCATCTGGAAATGGGCAATAGAGCATAGGGTGCAAATAATAGCCATTCACATTGCAGGACAAGACAATATCTTTGCAGACACACTAAGCAGAGACACAGACATAAACCAGGTGTGATCCCCGTGTTCAGAGAGTGGGGATTCCCGAACGTGGACCTTTTCACTTCCAGAGCCAACACGAAATGCTACTTATTCTGTACAAGGGCAGCTGTGGACAAAGAATCTCTTGGGGATGCCTTTCAGTTGCATTTTTATGGATTCCCACCTTTTGGAATTATATACAAGTTTATGGCCAAACTGAAGGCCAACAGAACTGCCTGCATTCTTCTTGCCTCCTATTGGCCTCAAAGAGTGTAGTTCCCAACCTTGTGGAAGTTGTCAAAGGGAGTTCACAGAATCCTGCCTCCCGCACACCATCTCCTGCTTATGGCCCCCATTCTACACCCCGAAGTGCATTCTCTGCACCTGACAGTGTGGTTGATTAGACAGGTTATCTCAAAGGGCAATAGAGGTCATTACTGCTTGTCATAGACCTTCCACACGAAAATCCTGTGTTTCTAAGTGGAATAGGTTTGCACTTTGGGCAAAGGGTCAGGGTATCAGTCCAGTCATGTGCACTTCGCCCAAGATTTTCAGCTATGTAGTTAAAGGATGGGGGCTTAGCCTCCTTGTCCATTAAAGTATATTTTCATAAGAGAAGCAATAGTTCCTTGGTGATCTCAGTACCTGAATCTCAGATATTCCTTAAAAGTTTAAATAATTTGTACCCCTCTGTTGCTCATCCTATTCCACAGTGGACTTTGCCCCTTGTGTTAGCTAAATAGTTTCATAAACTGTTTAAACCAATGGCAAAGTCTGAGTTGTCATTTCTCTCTTATAAAACAGCTTTCCTGGTAGCAATCGCTTCTGCATACAGGGTGGGGGAACTGAATGCACTAAGATGTGACCCACCCTTTACCAAATTCCATGCAGACAAGGTGGTGCCAAGACCCAGGCTGGATTTTTTGGCCAAGGAGGTCTCCAAATTTCACCTGAATATCATTCTCCCTGTATTTTTTCTTTCCCTGATCTCTGTCTCTGAACAAACACTGCATACACTAGGTGTCAGATGAGCACTCCTTTTTTATTTGAAATAGACAGATGAATTTAGAAAGGGTAGGAACCTGTTCGTTTGTTTGGAAGGCCCAGACAGAGAAAAAGCAGCAGCATCTCAGTCATTGTCTAAGTGGGTGGTGTCCATTATCAAAACAGCATACAGTGAAGCAAACTTACTTTGCCTTATCACTCTGAGAGCCCATTCCACCAGGGCTCAAGCTTAATTGGCAGCATTCCTGTCCCAGCTTTCACTAGATGATGTCTTTAAAGCAGCCACATGGTTCACATCTTCCACGTTTGTCTGGCATTACTCCAGAAAATCTGAACCGAAATCTGAATATGGGGAGGTAGATAGAGGTAGGTTGGCTGGTGGGTGGAAAGGAGAGAACGAAAAGAGGAGAGGCTGTGAGGGGAAGAGGAAATAGTGGGGAGGGAGTAATGAAATGCCTCCTGCAAGTTCTTGTAATTATCTAATTAGGTTAATTAGGAAAATACTTCACTGAAAAACAAGCATTGTTATTTGTATACATCCAAGAAAATATTTTTTTTTTAAAAAAAAACATTCTCTGGATAGAAATATTAAGTCACATTAGTCTGCTCACCTTGAATTGTTTGCAAGAGTAACTTAATCTGGAGACCAAAGTTTGAGTCCACTGGCACCTTAAAGACCAACAAAGTTTTATTTGAGGTATAATCTTTTGCATGTAACACAATTCTTCTTTATCTGAAGAAGTGTGCTTGCACATGAAAGCTTATACTTTAATTAAAACTTCGTTGGTCTTAAAGGTGCCACTGGACTCAAACTTTGTTCTGCAGCTTCAGACCAATACAGCTACTCACCTGAATCTATTAATATGGAGAATTCTTGTGAATTTAATTCTGTGGTCTTTTAACAAGTAATTTGAAGACAATGTAATTTAACAGTCAGGGTTTTTTTCCAATGCAGGCAAGCTAAGGCCGATATCTATGCCAGTAGAATATAATTGGGTAGGAGACTATGAAGAGCCTAGCAAGACAAAAAGAGATAGTAGAAGAGGTAAGTAACCTCAAACAGAATTCACTTTTTGTTTATATACATTTGACTGAATCATTACATGCAAACTTTCCTTAACTATTCCACATTGTTACCTACAAAACAGAAATCTGAAAAGCAGGTTGTGCTTTTAATATTCAAGGATTCTAGTTGCATGTTTATTAGTAGTAGTGTCCTAAACTGGAATTGAAAACTAATTGCCAGCCTCTTCTCAATTTAATTTGGTCATGCATAAAACTGTTGCACTTTGATGCTCAGAGAACAGCAGCGGGGAACTAATTTGCATTCAGCCCTACCTTTGATTCTTTTTTTGTTTTCCCATTATCTCTGTTAATAAATCTGAAGTGAGACAACTACTCTAAAATTCAACCAGATGTAACTTTTTCAGCCAGGTATCACTTTCACTTATAGTCTTTTGGTGTATGACTCATTGCAAAATATCTTTATGATAGTGTTATTATTTATTATGTTAATATAATAGTTAACTGCATTCTTTATAGAGCCCAACTACAAAATACACTTGACTCACTTTCCCCACAGCCATAGTTCAGATTCCAATTCAGGTCAGGGCTGTGGTGCTGGGGAAGGAGGGGCTCCAGCCTCTCTCCATGCCATTTCCCCAAGCCACAGCTGCACTGGGTCATATTATTTGCCTCCCTGGAGGCTGCAAGTGCACTGAGTATTGTACATGCAGCCCCACAACAAGGCAAAAGTCCCTCCCCCGTGTCTGTTTTGGCTCAGGAAAACAGCACGGGGTGAGGGGGGGGCTGACCCCACTTGTGGTAAAACATATAATGTTGTTTGAGTTATACAGTTAAATTACTGTATAGAAGAGGAATTTAATTGAGACTCAAGTGAATTCTGAAAGCCTTGAAAATAAGACTTTTTTTTTCTGTTTTATGATAAAATCTGGATGATTAGCATGTCTGTTCCACATATCTTAGGCCCTTATCCATAGATTTCTTATTCTTGGCAGGAGCCAATGGGGAGAATCAGCTGGTGACATTAAATAGAAGACAGCTAAAATATTAGAACACTCAACTGCCTTTGATAAACTCAGGCTGAAAAAAGTTGAGTTTTAATATATACTGATCTATTATATTGTGGTACAGCCATGAAACAAGTGGGTATACCTTTATTAAATGTCATCAAGGCACAGGATTCCAGTCAGTTATTTAACTCTTCTAAATCCATGAGAGTTATTCTACTAACCTTGGCAAGAGTTGCATTGCACAGCAAACACTGCTGATTTGCTAAGTAACCTTTTCAATTTCTGTCTAGAAAATTCACTACTTCGATATATGAGCAATGAGAAAATAGCTCAGGAAGATTACATGTTTCAGAGAAACAGCAAAAAGGACACAGGCAAAAAATCCAAAAAGAAGGGAGACAAAAGCAACAGTCCAAGTCATTATTCCCTGCTGCCCAGTTTACAGATGGACTCATTAAGGCAAGACAGCATGACCACCCCAGGTCCTGAAACCTCCATGTATCATGTAAGTAAAATGGGAAAATACTTCATTCTAAACAAAAGCTGAGTGGTGTGGCATGTGTCTGGTGCCTTTAAAACCTTTTCATTTTTATCTTACAACATTTCTTTAAGGAATCAGTATGACTTTATTTACAAGAGTTTAAAAATATTTAATAACAAATGAAGCAAAAAAGTCTCACAGTTTGGTATATGGCATTTGCTCATCTGTAATATTTCATTATGATAATAAATTGCTATTGTATAGACTTTCATATAAAAATTAGAAGCTATAGATAATGCAATGCTCCCACAAAGTTGGTAGACCATTCCCCATTGCTTGAATTCTGCCAAAAGTTAATTACGTATATGTCCCATTGATTTAAGAAATCCTTGACATACCTGCTGTGTGATGGATTGAATTCAATACTTTAAGAGTGATATGGTTTTTCATTTTAAACAGTAAACAGTATGTTACTAAAATTGGATGAGCACAAAAAAAATTCTAGACCATTAACATTCTTCAAAGTGTGAGGATGCTAATACATTTTCCAGCAATGTGCTCAAAATTAACATAAATTGTTTTTTTAGTAACCTAACAAATGGACAATTAAGGAAGCCAGTATTTGTAGGATCTTGAGTTTCTGGCTGTGTCCCAGATTTTGCTGTAGTGAAATGTTTTTAAAGCAGATGGTTATCTGCTGAGCTCAACTGGAAACAAATGACATGCTTTTATTTTAACAAACTCATTTCATGACTTCCTTTGGTACTACTGGGTGGATCTAATAAAGACTGTGTGAATTTATGATAACCTGTTCACATTGCATGTTAATAAATGAAATCTCCATAACTTAGAAATGTTATTTTCTTTCATCCTAATGATACATTAATTTGTATACAGCTGTGGGAAATTTCACCTTACTCATGCAATAAATTTATTGTCACTTAGTGTGATACAAAGTAAATTCATAATCTGCCATCAAAGTAATCCATGATGTATGGACAAAAATTGCATTGTATTTGTGAATTCTGTTTGTAATACAAAACAAAGCAATGTTTAAAATGTTGCATCTTTCATTAATAGCAAGTGAAGCAATATTTGAAATTTTGTATCTCTTCAAAAATTCCAAAGGTTTCAGAACTATGAATGTAATGCTGTATCTTATGAATCATACTAGATAATGTTCAACAAGATTACTACTTCATGAAAATTATTTTATGCTAATGTAATAGAACTAATACTATACTTTAAGGAAAAGGAAATAAATTCTGTTTAGAGTCTGAAGTTTTATCTACAACTATCTTGAAAAATCCCATAGATGCAGTATTAGAGAAAAGCAGTTATGGTAATGTTGGTATCCAATATTAAGAGAAGCAAAACAGATAAAACACCAGAAGATACAAGCTTCTGAACCAGTGAAAGATTTTTTCCCTATATCAATAGCAATTTCTATGAAAGAACCTATGTACAGCAAAAAAAAAAAAGTATTGTAATACCTTAGAGGGGCTGCCTCTTGGAATAGTTTTGGTATGCAGGTACAGGTGTCCAGGTGAAATGTACATGCACCTCATGTCAGCTGTGAATGGGAAGTGTTTCAATTGCCATTTTTGGTAACATACATGGAAGCAGTTAATGAGTCTTAGAAGTTTAGTGCATCTGTGTGTATGTGTAGCAATGCATATTTTAAAAAGAGTGACATGCTTTTGTCTAGAACTGCTTTGTTGACTTGTTAGTGAAAAGCGTCTGCTGAAATACTGAACAGTGAAGGTCAAGACATTACTTTAATGTCGGGCAACAGAGTGTTATAATAATGAACAAAATTAATAATTATAGAATGATTAAAATTAATTAAAGCAGTTTTTAAACAGGAGTTCAGCAGTTGTATCCTAAGCAAAGTTGTACCATGGATTAAGCAGCGGCCTTGGAAGGCTTTAGCTTTGTTTAAGATTGTGCAGGAAGTTCTTCAAAGTTCTCATCATCCCGTTGCAGCATATGTTGCTTGGAATATTTTCCAGTTTCTTAATAAATTGAAAACAATACTGTCCAAACACCCTAGCTGTTTTCCCCCTCTTCTCATTTTAAATGTAATACCTTACAATTATTGTGCTTGTTACACGGTGTTTTCATAAGACTGTTGGTTGCTATGGAGGCACATTTGCATGAATAAAATACTGAAAAAATGTCTATAGCAGTAAGTCATAGTCTCAGGTTCTTACACCAAGTAATCTCTACAGACTCATTTGTAGGTGGATATAAAACCAGTGGCCCATCTAGTCCACCATTCTGTTTCACACGATTACCAGCCTAGTACCCTGTAAGGTCTCTGTGGCACCAGGTCCCCAGATACTCAATATGTTCTTCCCAGAGGAGTGCACCTAATTACATGACCTTGCAGTCCCAGAAAATTTTCTTTCAGTTGTGAATGGCACTGGGTTTTCATTAGCTCTTGTTTTGTGGCAGAAAAAATGAGAAGTTGTGCATATCTTCTAATGCTCCCAGATTTGGCAGGAGCTACCTTTTAACATCCAGGTTTTGTTAGTCTTAAATTAGTCTCCCTTCCCTTTGATTCAATTCAAGGTTTTACTTGGAAAATTGAGGAAAGATTTGCATCCAGAATATTGGGCTTTTTAAAAGCTCAGTTCCAGATTGGAACTAATTTATACTTTGTGCCTGGTGACATAAGTGGAAGCCCAAATGCTTCTCCCATCCTGTGTAAGCTTGACTTTATAGTTTGATTTTGTTTATATCACTACCTTTCAGGCCACTAATAGCTCCCAAGGTGATATACAAAAAATAAAATTCATATCAAAAATGCATTAAAACCTGCAAACCATCCTATATCTGTAAAAGCAGCAGCAAAGTTATCAATAATTAAAACAGTATAAGCAGCATATCTGAAAAGGAAAACAGTAAAAGCAGTCATCACATTAAAAAAAAACAAATCAAAAAAGTGGTTTCTTGCCGGTCATTTTTTTGTCTTTCATTTTATACATACTTTACAGTCTTTCCTTTTTTGCATATATTACAATATGCCTTAAATTGCAGTGAAGCACACCCACAGGCACTATATTTTCCTATCTGTTGGGACTATCAGTGGCAAATAGCTTTGTTTCCATATGGGAAGCTAAGTGCTAAAATACTACTGAGGCACATTATTCTCTGGATAATGGACACTGGGCACAGTCCAGTATACCAGTCAACAACTGTATCACTCACACTTGGTTGAGGACAGCACTGGGACAACGCGTAGTCTGGCACTCTCACACCCTCCATTCTCCGCAACCCCCCTAGGAGGCACGTGGAAGCTGAAATTTTTCCGTCATCTTAGAAAGGATTGTTTTATTTGTTGATAAGCACATTCTGTATTTTACTGCTTGTTTTAACTTCACTTTATTTGTTGCATTTACCTTTGTTGTAAGCCACCCTGAGCCCTGCTTGTAGGGAAGGGCAACCTAAAAATCTAAATAAATAAATTCATTTGAGTTAGCTTGCACAAAAGAACTTTCAATAATTGTGTCAAGTATCTGTACTTTTTAATTGTTGTTGTATATTAATTACTTCATTGTTATTGGCATAAACTAATTAAGTGGCATGTTGTTTGTTGGATTCTTTCATAGACATTTCAACAATCCTCTCTACAACACAAGTCTAAAAAGAAGAACAAAGGTAAATATGATAAATAGCTTCTTGTAGGTCTTATGTAAATTAGTATTTAATTTTTGTACTGTGTGGGGGAGGGAAGCAGGAGACTGCTTGTGGGGGGGGGCAGCAGGCACACGTGGTGAGGTGTTGTGTGTGTGGTTGAAGCTGTCAAGAAATAGAAAGGTAATGCCTAAAGGGTGGGGCTAATTTACATAGTGTGGGGGGAATGACAGCAAAGGCAGAGAAAGAGGAGTTGTGGGTTTGTTTCCCTCCTGCCTCCTCTGACTGCAGCTCAGTGAGGATTGAAGAAACCACTACATATGGGTTGGAGCTGAGTGGCTGGCACTGCCACCACTGCACCAAATGGCTTAGTGATTCTTCAGATAGCGACCATGAGGGGAGTGGGCGCATGGAGAGTCAGTTAGCTGATGAAGGGACAGGGACAGTGGGGAAGAGAGGAGGAGAAGGGCTGGCATGTGGATTGTGAGGCAACTGGGCTGTCTTGTGCATGCTGCTCTGTGAGGGAAAGAATTCCTGGCCTTGGAAGCGAGTGGAGAAGCAAAGGGAAATAGTGGTGCTGATGTTGCCACCACACATCTGAACAGTCGCATAGCCGGGAAGCAGAGTGAGTGTTGGGGCAAGGGGATGGTGACCTTCCTTGTCCCCCCACGTGTTCTTAGCCCATGAGGGAAAGGGGGTCACAGGGGGGGAAAGTACCCTCTGGATGTTTTGGAAACTGCCTCTCTGTCAGGCCATTCCTCAGCCCCACTGCATCTGTGGGAAATGCAGGAGGGATGAGAACTGGGAGTGAGGGGATCTGGAGGAGCCTGGTTCAGACGCCTCTCCTATTGAGCCAGGATCCTGTCATCTGGGTCACCTAGAGCCAGTTGCTCAGCTTGGCCCACCTCACAGGGTTTTTGTTGATGGTGGGGATGGGGTGATAGAGGGGAAAATCCAGTGTGCCTCCTCGAGATCCTCAGAGGCAGGATGGGGGAAGAGAGGAAACAGAATTCGATAGATGGATTGTAACTGTGCTTGGCTGCTAAGGCTGGGCGTATGGGGGGGGGGGGTTGCTGCTGCTGAAAAACTACCGTATTTACTCCCAAGGACAAAGACTCATCTCCAGAAAAGTAACTAATTCATATGGAAGTGTAAGATACCCTTCTTTTTATGGTATCCCTTGGGGGAAAAACTCATCCTGCATATGATTAAAAACATGTATTGGGGCTTTTGTTCCCCAGCTTTTGTTTGTATTTGGAGTAATAATTAATTGACTGCACCTGTGTCCTTTATAAAGTTTATATCTTCAGTATCCAGCATTACATTTTATGGAATACATGACCCAGCCCAGCAAAGTAACATTTGTGTCAGATCTGACCCTCATAACAAATGAGTTCGATACCTCTGGTTTAGACATTGTGTTTGCATATATTTTAAACATGGACATTCTAAAATAAACCTAAACTTCAACCTTGTATTCAAAGTTTTCTCAGTGCTTGATGTCTTTAAAAGAGTGCCTTCGCCTCCACATTCTTCCATGTTCCCTAAATCCATGCAACGGTCACCTCCAGGCTGGACTACTGTAACTCGCTCTTCATAGGGCTGCCTTTGAGGCTGACCTGGAAACTCCAGCTGATCCAGAATGCAGCCACATGGGTCCTTACTGGGACCCATTGTATGGCACATATTCAACATGTGCTGTGTGAGTTGCACTGGCTTCCTGTGGAGTACCAGATCAGATTTGAGGTTCTGATGTTAGCCTTTAAAGACTGGGACCCACATACCTTCGGGACCACCTCTCCTGGTACACCCCCAGAAAAACTTTTTGCGTCAAAGATAAGAACATCCTGGTGGTCCCCGGCCTGAGAGACATCCAGCTGTCCTCAACTAGGAGTTGAATGCCCTGGTCCCTACCGGGCGGAACTCGCTGCTGAATAACATCCATACCCTGTAGGACTTGTTGCCGTTCCACAAGGACACGTAAGGTAGAGATGTTCTGCCAGGCGTTTGGTTGAGGACAGCGATAGTCTTCCATTTAGTCTGGCACTCTTTCTCCTCTTTCTTTTGGTGTAGTGGTTAAGTGCGCGGACTCTAAGCTGGGAGAACCGGGTAGGATTCCCCACTCCTCCACTTGCAGCTGCTGGATGACCTTGGGCAAGCCATAGTTCTGTCAGAGCTGTTCTTGAAAGAACAGTTCTCAAAAGAGCTCTCCCTGCCCACCTACCTCACAGGGTGTTTGTTGTGGGGAGGGGAAGGGAAAGGAATTTGCAAGCCACTCTGAGACTCTAAGTGAAGACCGGGTATTAATCCAATCTCCTCCTCCTCCTCCTCTTCTTTCCCTGCCTTCCTCCTCCACGAGGCAATGAAATTATCACAATCAAATTGGCTTAGCCTGCTGTAAATTGTGTTTTATGTATTAATGTAATTTTGAAATCTTTTGTAAAATTGCAATTTTATCACTGTTGTACACTGCCTTGAGCCCCGCTTTTCAGGGGGAGGGCAGCCTGAAAGTTGAATTTAATAAATAATAATAAATAAAAGCAGGGGTCATTTCGTAGAAAAAGAGCTAGGGGGACTCATTAGCATAACTCATTAGCATATGCCACACACCCTGACATCACCAGAAGTGTGTCCTCCCCACAGCCGGCGGCGACCTCCAGCGGGCACCAGCAGGGAGCTCCAGGCCCCGCTCTCCCGCACCTCACCCGGGGGGATGGCGTCCCCCCGCGTCCCCCCCCAAATGACCCCTGAATAAAAGTAAAGGCACTCTTTAAAGACATCATACATTGAGAAAACTATGAATACACATTTGAAGTTTAAATTTATTTTGAAATTCCATGTTTACTACCAAATAGCAAACATAGTGAAGGCTGTGGGAGTTTAAGACCTTGAGCTTGAGTTTTAAGACCTTCACTATGTTCGCCATCTAGTAATAAACTATGCCTCTATTTCTACTGCTTATTATGAGGGACAGCACAGAGTTCCACCCTCATTAAAGTATAGGCTAGATGGTGGGTTCCATTGAGGAAAAAGAATTGTGTGATTAAAACGAATTTCCTTGTTATTCCCAGCCACTGCTCAAAGTAAGAGTAGAAGGCGAATTTCTTGTAAAGATCTTGGTCGTGGAGATTGTGAAGGCTGGCTTTGGAAAAAGAAGGATGCCAAGAGTTATTTCTCACAAAAATGGAAAAAATACTGGTTCGTTCTGAAGGATACTTCTCTGTACTGGTATATCAATGAGGAGGTAAGAAACTGACATATATGTTACTCTTCTTGCAGAGAGCATAAGAGCACCTAAAACATCATCCTGTTTACACAGTGGCCAACCACATGCCTTTGGAAGGCCTACAAGCAGAGCAAGGAGGGGGGAAAAATCTCTCTTTTGCTCCCTCTAAAACTGTTTTCAGTTGGTTAGTGTCTCTAAACATGGAGGTTCCATTTAGTCTTCATAGCTGATTGCCATTTATGTATTTACTTACTGCATTTCTACCATTTTTTTGTCCCCGGTGGGTATCCAAAGTGGCTTATAACCATTTGTGAGATTGTGAGGTAATTTAGGCTGAGAGAGCGAGAGAGAGAGAGAGAATGGCTGGTCTGAACACACCCAGCAAGCTTCAATGGCAGATTGTGGATTTGAACCTGACTCTCCCAGATTCCAGTCCAACACCTTAACCACTACATCATAGGAGCTGATGAACTAAACTAGCAGCCATGACCACATTCTCTGGCAGTTAATTTCATAATATAACGTGTGTGTGAGTGAAGCAGTACTTCCTTTTTTCACACTTGAATCTGCTGCTACTTGGCTTCATTGAGCCAAGAGGAAAGGCAGGCTGCAAATATTTTAATAAATAAATAGGTTCCCATGAGTTTTAAAATTACGGAGAAAAAGTTCTCTCTATCCACTTTCCCCATATGGTGGACTCTTGCCATTTACTAGGGATCACTGAATGAAGAAATCTGTGAATACTGGGAATTAGGGGGCCTTTGATGAGGGAAGTCCAAATCCCAGGAGTAAAAAGCCCACTAGCACCTTTAAGACTAACAAACTTTATAGTAGCATAAACTTTCGAGAAACACAGCTCTCTTCGTCAGATCCATGGAGGATGTGAAGTAACTAGCCAGAGATGTATAAGTGGTAAGGGGAGAGAGCAACACCAAATTCCAGGAGGGTTATGATTGAGCCTACGTACTACAGTCATTATCCAATGGTGACTTAACCCTGTGGCAGATAATTCTGAGGCAGATGTAAAGTGCCTTTTAAAATGAGCAGCTTTGATCTGTGGCAGTGAGAGCTACTGCACTGGAAACAATAAATAAAACTATGAAAGTATGCACAATTCTTTCCTGCTCATATATCAAATTAATTGCCTCCAAGGTGTGCTGAAGATGGGTCATTTCAGTATGTACCATCTCTTGTTTGGCTGAAAAGCAGCTTCTATATATTAAGTTTCTCACCACCGAGCACTATCCTATTGTATTATTGTATAGTATTAGAAGCTCTAGTAACAATTCAGAGCCACACTTTTAAGGAATTTTCCAATTCTCTTTCATGAGCATAAAATGCTTCATGCATTAGCATGCATTTCCCATTGTAGGCATCAACTGTTTCTCATACAAAAAGTTTGTAAATCTTGTACTCAACTGATTCAGTATCTGTATTGTGTTGCCTTAGCCTCTGGCATTGGTTGGCTGAATGTTGTGATGGTTTGGAATGTTCACTTGCTCAAGCAATACTTTTGTAGTCCAGTTTCTGTAACAGAGTGGAATGTTGTTTGATAGAAATTTAAAACTCAACCAGGAACTTAATGGGCATGAGGAAGAGATCTCAAGAAACTGGCAAGCCAAAGGGGGAAAGCCCAGAAGCAAGAAAATTGCAAGAAGGCCAATGATCTGAAAAAAAGAACCTGAAGGAAGCATAGGTAGGGAAAGGGGCTTGGGAGAAAAGGACACAGGAATCAGTGATGTTTTACAAGAAGGGCCTATGAGTTATGGGGAGGACAAGAGCTGGTAAAGAGACAATGTACCTAAATGTCTGAGGCAAAGTGAGAAGCAGGAACCTAAAGCCTTGGCTTCTGTATGGCAGCTGTGCTTTTGGAGCGTATACGTATCACTCTCTTCTATCCATCCTGTTTCTGTGTTTTCCCTAGTGTTACCAGCTCTGGGTTGGTAGATTCCTGAAGATTTGAGTGTGGGGTTTGGGGAAGGAAGGGACCTTAGTGGGATATAATGCCATAGAGTCCATCCTCCAAAGCTGCTATTTTCTCCAGGGAAACTGATCTCTGTATCTGGAAATCATTTGTAATTCTGGGAGATCTTCAGGCCCCACCTGGAGGTTGGCAAGCCTAGTTTTTCCCTATATGGTCTTTCCCATATCTGGTTTGGTATGGCCATTTGGAAAAATTGCAGTCAAAGCTTGCTTGGACACTGGAGGGCAAGATGTGCATTTTTCTAGATCCCACTCACATGAGCACCATTTTCCTTGCCTTGGCCAGTGCAGGTAACCATTCCCCCCAAACTCATATACTAGAGGGCTTTTAAAAAATTTGGAATTGCTAGATCACTATAGCATTATAACAGTCTTTTGCAACAATGTAGTAAGTGGGGTTTTTTGTTTTGTTTTTAAGCAAGACTCTGGTCCTTTTTGTTACAAGGGAAAATGAGGAGGCTGCATTCACAACAGCAATGAGAGATGCACTGATAATTGCCTATTTTTGAAAGTAGCTTATGTCTGGTTGGAGGCAAGCAGCTGGAACAGTATTACCAAATTTAATTCTGAATCTACAGAATAGCTTCTTTGAAGGCCAGTTCACCTGTTAAAAATGCCTTTGTGTTCTCTCTGTGGAAGGTAAACAAACGTACTCAGAACTTAATTCCCAGATGTGCACAAGTCTGATTTTCACAAGGACCATGGCATTCAGGGACCTGGAGAAGGGCTTAAGCTATCCTCCCCCTGCCACCGTTTTCCTACCTGAAATGGTCCTAGGGAGCCACTGTTTGCCTGGTGGAGGGAACATATCTCACCAGTACATATTTGAAGCAGCCTTCCAGTAACATGCATCCATGGATTCTTGTGAATGTTTTGATAAGATAATAAATACAGGACTCTTATCTGGTGGCCTTGTGATTTAGTTGGCTGCTCTGTTAATTTTTCTTTCATCTTTTCATGTCCACAGGATGAAAAAGCAGAGGGATTCATCAGCCTACCAGAGTTTAAGATTGATAGAGCTAGCGAATGTCGCAAGAAATAGTAAGTATATTAGAAGTAACATTTAAGAATAGATGAATTATAAATGCTGAAACGCTTCCTCTGTTTTGAGAAAACCTTACTTGTTACTTATTATTTTATGAATTCCCTTATTACTGTTAAATAAATTATGTATTGTTATTATATATTACTACAGAAACCCATTGTTTCTAGTACTTAGAGGTAGGGTTGAAAGCATTTTGGTTGATGGTCTTTACTGTTGATTTTGAGGATTAGATTTTTTTTTCTGCTTCCTTTTAATTGATTGCATTAGTAGAATACTTTTCAATTATTAATCTGTGATACATTATATTTTTGCAAACCTTGATCTACAATTAGGAGAAAGGTATTTTCAGCTGGACATCCAGGCAAATGTCTCACGTGATCTAATGCAGTCAGTATCCTGAGCTCAATGCCTGCTTACATTAGTGGAGTCTTGTGCCAGTGTAACACCCTAAGAGTGCCCTCTACGCCCTCTCACCAAAGCAGCACCATGATATACCACGGAGCTGTGGAGGATGAAGCAGGAGCTAATTATTTAGAATTATTCATTCTATTATGGCTCTGCCACAGGGCAGACCAAATAGCAGGGAATTGGCCATTGGCTGCGAGGCATATGCGAGCTATTTCTCAGATAAGATTGTGACACTCCGCCTGGACCTCCCAACCACAATTGAGACAGTAAGAGAACTGGAAGCCCCTTGTCCGTCTTGTGGTCCAATATTGGCCCAGTTCAATCGACTCTCCCAGGAGGAAGTCAACAGGATCCTGGCAGCGGTAAGGCAACTGCTTGCCTCCTCGACCCATGCCCTTCCTGGTTGGTGAAAGCCTGAGGGGAGAGCATTCAGGTCCCTCTGGGAGAAATTATCAACTTTTCCCTTTCTACTGGGACCTTCCCAGAGGCTTTGAAGGAGGCAGTAGTTTGTTCGCTCTTGAAAAAACCATCATTGGACCCTACTGCCCAGTGTCAAATTTACCATTCCTGGGTAAGGTGGTTGAGAAAGCGGCGGCTGAACAACTCCAGACTTTCCTGGATGATGCATCCATCCTTGATTCCTTCCAGTCCAGCTTCCACCCTGGTTGTGGGATGGAGATGGCTCTGGTCACGCTTACATATGTCCTCCGTAAACATCTGGATCAGGGTGGATCGGTGCTGCTGTTACTATTAGATCTAATGGTGGCGTTTGATATGGTCAACTATTGACCCACTGCCTCGCCGATGTAGGAGTTCAGGGGACTGCCTTGAAATGGTTTTCCTTCTTCCTCCATGGTCAGGGACAGAGGGTAGCACTTGGCGAGAGGGTCTCCCTGCTATACCCACTGGAATGTGGAGTGCCGCAGGAGGCGATTCTCTCGCCAATGTTATTTAACATCTATATGCAACCCCTCGCCCAGTTAGTCTGGAGTTATGGGCTGGGTTGTCATCAGTATGTTGATGACACCCAGTTCTATCTGTTAATGGACGGCTGTCTGTCTTCCATTCCTACGAACTTGGCTGAGTTTTGGATGCTGTGGCTGGATGGTTGTGGCAGAGTCGGTTGAAGCTAAATCCATTGAAGACGGAGGTCCTGTACCCAGGTCAGGGGGGGGGTTGGATGTGGGCACCAGGCTCCCCACACTGAAAGGGGTGCCTTTGGTGCCGGCCCAGACAGTGAGGAGTCTGGGAGTGACACTGGATGCCTCTCTTTCCATGGAGGCCCAGGTTGCTGCAGTTGCCAGATCTGCGTTTTTCCATCTTAGGCAGATCAGGCTACTGAAGTCCTATCTTTTCCCCCCAAGACCTAGCAATGGTGACCCATGCAATGGTCACTTCATCTGCTGACATCAACACCTGTGCGGGCTCACGTTAGGCACGTGCTTCACCAACTGCATTGATTGCCAGTTGAGTTTCGGATTCGCTTCAAGGTGCTGGTTTTGACTTTTAAAGCCTTATACGGCCTGGGACCAACATATCTAAGTGCCCGCCTCTTCCCATATATGCCTCAAAGAGCATTACACTGTAAAGATCAACACCTCCTGGTGGTCCCTGGCCCAAAAGACACCCGTCTTGCCTCAGCCAGGGCTTTCACTGTCCTGGCCCCAGTCTGGTGGAACATGCTCCCTATTGAGACCAGGGCCCTGCGGGATCTTCTTCAATTCCGCAGGGCCTGCAAGATGGAGCTGTTCCACCAGGCCTTTGGTTGAGGCAATGCGCACCAGTATATGGCCTCCCTGAGGTTGCTGTCACTCATCCACTTATTGACCAACAACAACTGGCCTTTAACTCACCACACCATTGGGCCAGAACTTTATAGCTAACTTATGCTGTTTCAAGCTGTACCCATTGTTTTAATTGTTATAACATTTTATCATGTTTTAAATTGAAATTGTATTTATTATAATGATGTTATCGGCCCTGAGCCCAGTGGCAGGATATAAATGCAAATAATAAATAAATAAATAAATAAATAAAAATTGATGCTCCAGAGGTTGAGAAAATTATTTTGGCATTTGGCTGAAATGGAAAGGACCTGTGCAATACCCATTAGTGTGACTGACTTCATGACTGTAAATTCAATCTTGTAAAAATTGGTCAACACATTTTGTTTTTTATATTTAGCTAAGAGTTTGTAACTGAAAGTAATGCCTGAAGCACAGTGGTATGAAACTCATAGAGACTTCTCTGCTAAATCAAGTTTGCGCAAATAGTATTCTGTTCAGAAACCTTTATGACACCTTTACCTACCAAACACAATTTCCCAGATGCTTATACCATGTTCTTTCAGCAAACATTCAGTGAATCAAGCTACAATTTGAACTGTCTCTGGGTTCAAGGTACAATACAACTGTTATTTAGTTAGATGTGGAGAGCAGGAGGAGGAGATTGGATTTATACCCTGCCCTTCACTACCCAAGGGAGTCTCAGAGCGGTTTAGAAACCCCTTTCCATTCCCCTCCCCACAACAGACACCCTGTGAGTTAGGTGGGGCCGAGAGAGCTCTTTTTCAAAAACAGCTGTGCCAGAACTATGGCTTGCCCAAGGTCATCCAGCCAGGTGCAAGTGGAGGAGTGGGGAATCAAACCCGGTTCTCCCAGATTAAAGTCCGCGCACTTAACCACTGCACCAAACTGGCTCTCAAACTGGCTCTCTATGGTTAATGTTATTAATGTGCCTTTGAAAAAGTACATTTTGATTATATTCCAAAAGGTAATTAAAATGCAAATATTCTTGCTTTTAGACTTATGTCAATATTGAATGTAAGTACATAAAATGAAATGATAACTTTAATATAAAAAGCTGCATGCTTTAATATTTTATTTACTGTGTTTTGTGCTATTTTTCTTCCACAGTGCATTCAAGGCCTGTCATCCTAAAATCAAAAGCTTTTATTTTGCTGCTGAACATCTAGATGACATGAACAGGTAGTGAAACTTAATATGTGTAAACCATCATCCTTGAATATGAAACTCAGTTAAAGGGATGACTCAGTAGCCAAAGAAAATATATCAGATATTTTTCCATTTCATCACAGTTTTCATCTCACATGACAGGCATGTGCAAATACACTCATATAAACTCTTTTGCAAGCATTATAGGTGGTCATGTGTATATGTCTGTGTGAATGAGTGAGAGCAGTGGGGAGAGAACACAATACGTGGCTGTAAAAGAATTGTTCTTACTTCTGCCAAGCCTGTACTGAATCCAGAGCCTAAATCATTTGATTTAGAAAAGAGAAAGGAAAGGCTAGCAAAATTGTCCCTCATCACACTAATTACCTGCTTAGCAGAATGGATTTTTAAAAGGCACAAATTAAAGAAACCACAGCTGAATTTTATCAAAAGGGCAGAAAAAATCTATGTGAGTTAAAGAAGTATTTTAGTATTTTTAGCACTGTTAGAAGTAACTATGATTAGTGAAATATGGTTTGTAAATTCAGTGCAGTTTTAAAGACCCAAACTCAGTGAAACATTTCAGATTCATTTCAAACATTTCTGAACTTATAATATTGTGACATTATTTTAAATTAACTTTTTTGAAGTTCAGAAATCAGGCTTCCAATAGCAACCTGATTACTAATTGATCCTCGCAATGGCGAGGGTTCACTGGAGATCTCTCTACAAAGTCTCCTTCCCTCTCCTTCACATATTGAATACTGGGATTGTAGCATCTGAGGGACCAGTGCTGTACCAAGGGGTTGGTGAGAGGTGCACTCCACCTCAGGTGCAGTTTGAGGAGGGCCCTTGAAGCCAGCATCATGCTATATTCAGCTGAACATTTTTCCTTTTATTTTTAAAGTGCAGTTCTTGCTGCAGCCACTAGGGGCTCAAGGAAGTCTGAGCATAGCAAAGAGCACTCCAGGATTGGCTAGATTTCACTTTCTCCAAGACTGAAGCAAACTTGCTTAACAGATCGTATAGCCAAGCCAGCACGCTGATCACTGCTACAGTAATTGCCAGCCTGCAAGTCAATTTTTCCAATATACTAGCCTTTCTCGCTTCCTTTCTTTCCACCCAGCTCAGCCACAACTTACAAAGCAGTGGTTAGGGTGTTGCAGCAAGATAAAACAACTGTTCCCTCTCAATTTCTCTCCATCTTTTCCATGTTTCTCATTCATTTCTGTCTCCACCTAATTTTTCTGTGTGTCCCCCCCATTTATTTTCGCTTCTTGATATCAAGACCTTCTCATCCCTATCCTGCTTGGTGATAGAATGTATTTAAGAGTAGTGTAGTAGCAAACCTTTGTTAATGTCATGGATAGAAGGCACTGGGTTTACTGGGCACTGTACATTGTACTGGTTCTGCTGGGCTTGCAAGAATGCCCCCCCCCTTCAGTTTCTGCTGCAGAGATTCTCTGGTTTAACTTTAGTCCTTTGGAAACAATGGAGGATGGGGGCACCTTGTTTGAGGGGTAGTATGTTTTGTAACATCCAGCCTGGTGAAGTTTGTGATCATTATTTTGTGTTACTTTGACTAGCGTTAGTTAGTAAAAGTTAGTACAGTTGCTCTGAGCTCTCAAAAATGCCATCTAGATGTTTGGGATGGTCAGCTTTTGTACTTCAAAATGGTGAATAAAAGCCCTCCCAAGTGCCTGCTCAGAACACGAGTGCCGTGATGGATTTTTTGTTGTTGTTGTCAAGTCACAGCTGATTTACAGCAACCCTGTAGGGGTTTCAAGGCAAGAGACGTTCAGAGATTGTTTGCCATCACCTGCCTCCATGTTGGCTCTGCTTAGCTTCTGAGATCTGATGCGATTAAGCTATCCTGGGGCTACTTAGGTCAGAACTAGGCTGAAGTAATGTGACTGGCCCAAGGTCACCCAGCAAACTTCCATGGCACAGGTAGGGATTTGAACTTTGATTTCCTCAATCCTAGTCTGACACTTTAGCCATGCTGGCTCTCATGATGGAATAGCGTGTTAGAATTTGAATTTTTTTTTTTTACTGCGTTTCTTTTCTAGCCATTAAAACAAGTTTGGGTCCAGTGGCACCTTTAAGACCTTTAAGACCAAACTTTGTCCTGCTGCTTCAGACCAACATGGTTACCTACCTGAATCTATTTTCTGGCCACTATTATCATTTTTTTAATGTAATTATTATCACCAAAAATAATTTTGTCTTACAGAGGAGAGGGGTAAACCCAGCCTAGCTTGATCTTATCATATCTCAGAAGCTCAGCAGGGCCAATGCAGAGGCAGACAGCGGCAAACCATCTCCAAACGTCTCTTGCCTTGAAAACAGTACGGAGTCACCATAAGTCAGCTGTGACTTGACAGCAAAAAAAAGGGGGAGTGTTAAAAAATTAACTGCCCTGGGCACCAAATAGGCTGGGTACGCCACTGCCAGTGACCCTGGGAAATATAATTCCCAGAAAGTATGTCTTAGTTTGAATTTTCTATCATGGGTGTTCAGACCACAGCAACACAAATTGCAGTGGGGTGGCTCACTGCCAATCTTCGTTTGCACTTCTACCCCTTGCATCCCCTGCAACGGCATGCCATCATACTGGCAGGATGATACTGAAGGACCACAGTGTATCTCTCCCCTTTCAGCAATGTCCACACATACTGTTGTGAGAGCATGCACAGAATAGATACATGTTGTGGGCATGGGGTAATAGTTGCAGCTGTTCCAGTCTGGGCCTTTTCACAAAGTGGATAAATAACTAAGTGAATAAAATAGCCTTCTTCCTATGTATATGCTTTTAAAACATTTTTCTCTACAGAAGAACTGGTGCAAACAAGCAAAAATATGTATAAAGGAAGAAAAAATGTTTTGGGAATAATGAGTATTTTAATTTTTCTTTTAAATTTTTAAAATTATGTATTCATGCAAAAAGGCAAAAACTAATAATTGTTTCCCTTTTTCTACTAAAGCACCTGCATTCCTAAGGGTGGGGGACTAAAGATTTAGTTTTAAAAATTAAAATTTCCTTTCCCAGAAGTAACAATTTCTAATCCAATCCAATTACCTTTATTGGCATGTAACACAGACTCATATACAACAAGAACAACAACAGAAAATATTACTTGCAAAAAGAATAGGTATGAGAAGGGTTGCCATGTAAATGTACCAGGAAAGAAAACCAATTCATTAAATAAAGAGTGAATAGAAATGGCACCAGAAAGAAATTTAGCAACAGTTTCTGCTATCTCAAGATTTGTGTTATCAAGAAGAGTAAGAATCTTTATACCATCAGAATATTCTTCTAATTGAGTCAAAATAGAGTTTAAAAATTTCAGACATAGCACATGGTAGAAGGGGCATTGGAACAAAACATGGGAGATTGTTTCAGTGTGTTCATTTGTACATGGACAACATCTATCAGTGAAGGGCACACCCTGAAAATGGCCAGATAATAAGGCCAAAGGTAGTACATTGAATCTGGCCAAGGAGAGGGCTCTACAAAGTTTGGGGATGTGAAGTTGATAAAGATAAGAGGCAGTTTGGCCGACTTTAGGAGATACAAGTGGAGGCCCGCAAGAAACTTGCGGAATGGTTATCTCATCACACCTTTGCTTCCTCTCCTCACCCCCTACCTCTCACACACTATTTCTCCCCTCTGCCCCCCTTTTCTTGCTCTCTATTTCTCCTCCATGCATGTGACTTCCTCTCTCTTTCTGACCTGTCATCTTTCTCATTGTTTTTCTGCCTCCCCACTTCATCACTCTTTCTCTCTTTTTCTGCTCCACCCCTCAAATGTCCAGGAATTTCCCAACCTGGAGTTGGCAACCCTATTTATTTTTTTATTTTTTTATTTAACAGCCAGCTTACCTTTATCTGCCTCTCTGTCTTCTGCTTTTCATCTCCACCCCCAGCCTCTACCTAGGAAAATTACAGTCTTTCTCCACAGTGGGGACCAAAGCAGCTTTCATTATTCCCTCCTCCTTTTTATCTGCACAACAACCCTGTGAGGTTGGTTAGGCTGAAATATGTGACTGGCCCAAAATCACGCAGCCAGCTTCCACTGCAAGATGGGGATCTGAACCTGGGTCTTGCAGACCCTACTTTGAAGCTCTAACTGCTGCGCCTCACTGGCTTTCATAGGGTGGCTGCTGATGAATGGTAGCAAGCAGCCGAGGCTAGGTGAGTCATGCAAATCAGGGGGGACCTGGCAACCCTAGACAACTGCCAGGCCTAGAGTTGCCAACCTCCAAATGGGACTTGGGGACCCCCCAGAATTACAACTGGAGTCTAGATAGCAGAGGTCTGTCTCCCTGCAGAAAATGGCTGCTTTTGAGGGTGGACTCTGTGGCATTATACGCAGCTGAGGCCTCTCCCTTCCCAAACCCAGCCCTCCACAAAATCTCAAGAAATCCCCCACTGGCACTGGCAACTCTTGTGAGGCCTGGCCCCACGGCTCCCTTCCTCCCTCCCTCCATGAAAGGCCAAAAGAGGCCTGGAAAGGGCCTTTCCCCCACCCTTTGACTCACAGAGCCAGTTAGCAGCCTCCCCCCCCCCGAACGTTCTAATCTCTCTCTCACCATTGATGCCTGGAGTTAGATCCTGCAGAGGCCATTTCAAAAGGTATTGGGGGGAATTCAGCCGTCCCTGGAGGATTTTTTTACTTCTTGGATTTTTCTGCAGACACAGGAAGTATACTGACTATGTAGGAAAAGCTGTTGGGGCAGAGTGAGCTTCCTGTTAGTGGAAATAAGTATCCGCACAACACGCCCTCTGTTGGAATTAGATATATAGATTCCAAAATACAGAGTGGAACAGGTTTTATTAGCGGCATTATATAATGAGTGTAGCTCAAAGTAAAGTAGATTGGCTCTTATAACTGAGAAAGCCTCAGATTCAGAAGTAAGAAGTAAGGAAACTAAGGTAATATCCAGAGATTTAATCCAGTTTGAGTCATTATATTCTAGTAGCCGTTGATATGTGTAACTAAAGGGGTCCGAATTAAAAAGGAGGCAAAGCCAATACTTAATAGTAGTAAGCCATGCTTTAGCTATCAGCGTGCTCTGGCCACATTCCAGACATAAAGCTGCATAAGGAACATACACTGGAACCCCAAAGATTTTCCTCAGGAAATGGGACTGAGGCTGTTCTATGAAATTTTCAGCTGAATTTATCCAAATGGGCACCCCACAGGGGTCATTTCGTAGAAAAAGAGCTAGGGGAACTCATTAGCATAACTCATCAGCATATGCCGCACCCTCTGACATCAGGGGCCCGGCGGTGGACCTGCAAGCCAGCGGGAGTGCGAGGAAGCCCCGCCAAGGCCCTTCCTGGCCCCAGGCAGGCAGGGGTGGGGAGAGGCGGGGAGGAAGCAACTTACCCTCCCTCTTCTCCTGCCTCCTCCTGGCTGAATGAGGGCTGGAAGCGGGGCGGCCGGAAGCAGGGGCGGGGCTTCGTCATGTGCCCCGCCCCCCTGCACCTCACCCGGGGGAACTGCGTTCCCCCGCGTTCCCCCCCGAAATGACCTCTGGCACCCCATATAATAGCTGGGCCCCTATTTTGGCATTAAAGGCTTTTAAAGTGGCAGGTATATACTGATTGCCTCTTCCTGAAAAGTAAAATTTAGAAGTTGCTGCTGTGTTTACTTTGGCCATGTTAATTGCCATTTTTCGGTGGCAAACCCAAGAGGCATTGTATTGAAAATGCACACCAAATTTCTTAACCTATTCCGAGGAATGACTGTTAATTTTCCAGTCATAGACCTTCCAGGAGTTGGAAAACACCAGTACTTTGGACTTCTCATAGTTTAGCTCCAGCTAGTCAGTGGCACAGTATTCATAGCAGCGATTAAGTAGACACTTTAGCTCCAAACGCGTAGACAACAAAAGAACCACGTCATCAGCATACAGAAGTAAAGGAATATGTGCAGAGCCAAGTCTGGGGCTGTGGCCATCAACTGCAGACAAAAAAGGACCAAAGTCATTTAAGAAAAGATTGAAGAGGAAAGGGGCCAGAATACAGCCCTGCTTGACCCCTTTATTTATAGTGCTCATTGGGGTAAATCTAATCTGACAAAATGTAGCCGTGTATAATCTTCTGATAAGGAATAATAATCTCTTATCAAGCAGCAAGTGATCAAGTTTCCTCCAAAGTAAGTTCCTCAAAATGAAATTGAAGGCCCCTTTAAGGTCCAGAAATGTATCATAAAGCTTAGCCTTTCTTCTTTTTATATATTTATTTATCAGGTGAAGGAGAAGAATACAATGATCAAGAGGTGATTTCCTCTGGCTAAACCCTATTTGCTCAGGACCTAAGATATTAGAGGATGAAATCCAGTGTAACAGTTTCTCCTGTGTATATTTTTCTGTACCACTGTTCCAGTGCAGTTATATATTTTTTTTTTTAAAGAATAAAATGGAAAAGGCTGTCTTTTTATTTTATACTTTTCACTAGCAGTCCACAAACTAAAAATATTTTGAAAATAATTAAAACTAAACAAAATAAAAATATAAAAAATCGTTAAAACTAAAAAAAAAATCTTGAACTTTTTTCTGTCTTTTTTCTGTTAATGCAATAATTTGCATTCTTGAGTCAGTTCATGGTTACTTACAACACAGTTCCTGGAAGCATATAATAGGGGAACTGGAGATTCTAACCATACCGATCCTACTCTGGTAAAAAGTTATAGAAAGAACACTAAAATCTGGGAGAAATTTGGACAAATAAAATTTTGTAAGCAGTCATAACATAGACAGTTCTGCTAGAGCAGTAACTGCCCTATTTTCTTCAGCACTGGAGGATTCTTCAAGTGCATAATGATGATCGGTGTATAGAACATTTCCTGGAATTGAAAAGGATGACATTATGCATCAGAACTCTGTAGAGCTTGTATTGAATGGCTAGTACAATATGTTCCGGTGCAGTCAGAGCAATCAGCCAATGTACTGTCTTCCAATATGCACATTTTCCAAACAGTTGCCATATTCTACTTTTCAAAAAATAAGAAACTTTAAACTTGCAAAGTGATTTGGCAACAAAATAAGCCTTAATTAAATAACACTTGTATGCCTTTTGAATCAGTGTTTGTCAATGGGGTAACTAACTAATTACTGCAAATTACAAATATAAATATTATCATCCCTCAAAGATGCCTCTAAAGTTTAGAAAGGAATTAAATTTCATTTACTGGATAGCCTTCCTTCTTTTACTTTTGCCATTCTTGAAGTCTAATATGGAAAAATGCATAACTATACTTTATGTTATGAAAATAGTGATGGAAGATGAGACAGGACTCTGAAAAACGTGAGCCAGAACGCTATCACAGAGCCTGTTTTCCATGCCACTGCCTGGCTATGAAACATGTGAAATACTTATAAATCAGAACGTGTTGTCAACACATGCCAGAAATAACATCACGCCCCAATATTTTTTAGTTGAGGCAGAAAGTCTTTCAAATCAAGCTTGCTGGCAGGCTTGAGCACCAGCACCTCGAAACAGATCCGGAATTCAATAGGCAGCCAGTGCAGTTCACACAGCACTGGGTGGATGTAAGCCTGCACAGGTGTCGCCATCAACACCCGCGCGGCCGTGTTCTGCACTAGCTGCAACTTCAAGAGTAGAATCAAGGATAGCCCCACATAGAGAGAGTTAAATAATCCAACCTGGAAGTGACCATTGTATGGGTCACTGTAGCTAAGTCTTGGAGGGTGAGATATGGAGCCAACTGCCTGATCTGCCTCACATGGGAAAAGGCAGACCTGGCAGTGGCGGTAACCTGGGCCTCTATAGAGAGAGAGGCATCAAGGAACACCTCCAGACTCTTCACCCTTGATGCTGGCACCAGTGGTTTAAAGTTTGGTCCTTTCCTGACAGAACAGAAGTAAAAAGGGTTTGTTCAGCAGCTGCACAAATTAATGGCTGTTCTCAGCCACTATAAACATTAGATTTATTTTCCTATGTTATTTACTTCTACTCCTGAAGATATAGTTAGTCACATTAAGAATAGTAGTACTACAGCTATACCATTGCCATAGTAAAGTAGTTCATGGACTACATATGTGAGTTCAGCATTCAGAGGAGAATGCCGGGCTTTCCCCCCCCCCCCAGCATTGTTAGTGTTGTCTGTGTACATTCATTGTTGGGGCAAGGTTACCACCCATTTCTCCTTCTAATAGGTAGCTTGGGAAATACCAGTTCTGTAATTCTGGTGGTTCATTTACATTAAGAAAAAAGCTCTACCTTTACCAAGGTAGCAGAAGTCTACATAATGGAGAATCTGATTTAGTATAATTTTTTTGATAATGAATATGGTTACAAGTTACAGCATAATAGAAGAAGAAGAGTTTGGATTCATACCCCGCCCTTCACTCGGAGTCTCAGAGCAGCTTACAAATTCCTTTCTCTTCCCCTCCCCACAACAGATACCCTGTGAGGTAGGTGGGGCTGAGAGAGCTCTTTCAAGAACTGCCCTTTCAAGGACAGCTCTGACAGAACTATGGCTTTCCGTGGTCATCCAGCAGCTGCAAGTGGAGGAGTGGGGAATCAAACCCCGTTCTCCCAAGATTAGAGTCCGCGCACTTAACCACTACACCAAACTAGTATAATAGGTTAGAAGTAAAATACATTCCTGCATTGACAGTGTAGCAATTTTAAAAAGGAATAGCTCTAGTTCACACTGCCTTTAACCTAAGAAAGAATTGGTATGTTGTGACCTGCCCTGAGCCCACTTGGGGGGGGGGGGTAGATATCAAAGTAAATAAATCAATTTTCCTTTGCCTCCTTTCTACACACAGACTTTCTGCTGTCTCTTTGTTACAATAAATGATACCTTGGCTTTTGACTAAAAAGGCCATATTGTGTAATGAACTAACTTGGTCTTTCCTCTGCAGTATGAAAAATAAGGTTTTGAAATCTATTGGCTGAATCTTTGTCAGATAGGACTTGTTCTTGCGAAACTGGAAAAGCAGGAATATAAGTCACATATATGTCATCAGTAAATTCAATGAAGCCTTGAGTATCTCAAAATGTTCCATTATAAGGACTTTTAGTATCCTTCAGAGTTTTCCATTTGAAGTAGTCATGTCAAAATATTTTTACAGGGGAATTCTAGAGAACTGAAATCCTGATGAATAAAACAATCAAATACAGTGTTTTCCAAAAACATCCGCATGTACATAATACACATGTAACATGTATAAGAAATGCACATATAGAGAGCATGCCTGGCCTGCCCCCACTATGTATATTTACCACAGCATGGCCACAGACCCTATGTGTATAGGATCCATTTCTGTGTTCAGAAATGTTAGGAAAGTAGTTTGTATACAAACCAGTCTGTGGCCATCTTGCAGCAAACACATAGGTGTGTGTGGGGGGGTCAACATACTCAGTTTTACACCCCCTCTATGCACACTACCTGGCATTACACAGACAGCTATAAAGACCCATAAATTGCTAAAGTATGTCTCATATTTTAAAAATGTTATTTCAGGTGGTTAAACAGAATTAATATGCTAGCTGCTGGTTATGCAGAAAGAGAAAGGATCAAACAAGAACAAGGTATAGTATGACTACTCGATTTCTTTTTACTTGCTCCTTAAACTAACCCATTGCCCTGTATTCTGTGCCTTTCCGAACACTGTCATTTCAGTGCATTTCTTCAGATGCAGCTGCTGTTTTTATTTATTTATTAAAAGGTATACAAACATAAGAAATTCAGTGCATATTTGGCTTCACAATGAGAAAATGTTTTTCTAAAACACATTCACCTTTGAAGTTAGCTAATCTAAGGACTTATTTCATATTTAAAATTTTCTGACTCTTATAGTGGGTGGAAGTACATTCAATAAATTTTATTAGGAGATATAACAGAGTTATTTTAGGTTTTTACTATTTTACAGTAATGAATTTAGAAGTGGCATTTTTAACTATTCAGTGTGGTATTTTTATTTATGCTAGAAATCCATGGCAATTGGTATCAAATGGCAGGTGGAGTAATAGAGAAAGATTAGTCTTATATAATACATTTCTTACTTTCCTCTATAATATACTATACAATTCCTAAATATGGATCTCATGAAGCATGCCTTTCAGCCACAATGGTGCAATAGCTCCTAGGTAGCTGTAAGCGTGGTACTTTGAGATTTATGCTTCTGAAGCAAGTGCTAGGCACTCCCTCTCCTGGCTAACAGTGGTTCCAGCACTTGATAGAAAAACAGGAATAATTTCTCCCAACCTGTACGGAATGGGAATGAAAGGTTTTCTGTTCTAATAAGCCAAAGACTACATAGAACCCAGAGTTGCCACAAATTAAGTTCTAATAGAAGCTGGATTTAAAGAATGTTAAAAATTAATGCTGAAACTAAATGCAGTAAAAACTTTGTTATCTGGAGCTTGATTATGCAGATCATACAGTTAATTGGCATCACCCATACAGCAAGGTCCTTCTCCCCAACCAGACCCCTGCATCTTTGGTCATGTATGTGCCCCACGCCTACTCTGATGTGTCTGGCCAGTGCTGCCAGGCAGTATTCCCTCTAAGCTCTGGAGTCTTGTGAGCAACAATTATACTTTGTGAGCTACTGACATTAAAGTTGTGAGCGAGCGATCTGGCTGCTGCATAAATTAGTTTGTTCTGGAGCCATCCTTCCTGAGCTAAAATAAATATGAGTGAGCTGGAGGTTAAAAAACTGTGAGCTAGCTCACACTAGCTCAGCTTAGAGGGAACACTGCAGTGCCAGGTGACATGAATCATCCCCAGATGCCTCCACCACCATCACTCCAGCCTCCCTTGAGCTGTTGAGAGTGAGCTCTGTTGGAGGGCTCCAAGCTAACTGGCCTGCTTTTCTGCCTGCTGCATAGGAAGGGGCTGAGGAGAAAGGGGAAGGATCCCACTAGGTGTAGCTGTCACCACGACATTCACAGTGGGGTGGGATCTGGTTGCTGTGGATTTTCCCAAGTAAAAGGTGAGGCAGAATAATAAACTTTGAGAATCCATCAACCCCCCATTCCCCATGAATGCTGGATAACAACATTTTTACTGTAATTATAAAGATAATTTATTATGGTTCAAGAATAGGTATTTTTGTAACTTCCTTTATTCTTGATTCCTGTGCATTAATTTTGTAACAACTATGAGGAATATTTTTTCTTCCATTTCATAACACACATAATCATGAGAATTTGTTCTGGTACATTTCATATGTAATGCAATGCTGCATATAGAAACCTGGCTTTTTCACTGGCCCTTCTTTGAAATAGCAAAGAATTTTTATTTACTTATATAAGGTTGGATCCCTTCTGTTAACAGCAGCACTCACTTTCCCCTTCTTTATGTAAACATCCATGTTGTCTGATTTAACAGCCACACAGGTATGCCAGTCCTTAGCATCACCTTTTCAAGGTTCGTAGGTGGCATCTCTGAGAAGGGGGACATGGAAAATCCATTTCCAATGACACTGTACTCTGGCAGTGCATAGAATTCAGCACGTTACTGGGTATTTAAAACTAATAATAACACAGACTTTCTACTACTCCCTTTGCTTGTTTGTTGTAAGTAGCTTTTGAAACAATGTTGTAGAAAGCTCTTGATTTCCACAGTTTTCATAGATAGGTTTATCATATACTGTAGTGTTTCGATTAGACACCAATAATATCTAAGAGAACAGTCCAACAAAATTTAAGTACGTTCAAATCTCATTATTTCAATGTAATTTAAAAGGTTTGAGTACCACAATAAACTGATACACGCTCTGAGAGTCAACATCTCCTGGTGATCCCTGACCCAAAGGACATCCGCCTAGCCTCGACCAGGGCCAGGGCTTTATCTGCCCTGGCCCCCACCTGGTGGAATATGCTCCCTATTGAGATCAGGGCCCTGCGGGATCTTATGCAATTCCACAGGGCCTGCAAGATGGAGCTGTTCCACCAGCCCTTTGGCTGAGGCAGCGGGCGTCCACATATGGCCCCCCTGAGGTTGCAATCGACCCCTTACTGGTAACTGGCTAGTTACATCTATGGGCCAGATTCTCCCTACGGCAAGCATGACTACTGTTTTATATGTTTTAATCTTTTTTAAATTTTATTGTATTTATTAAATTGTTGTAACCCACCCTGAGCCCATTTACAGGATGGGCGTGATATAAATGTGAAAAAATAAATATAAATAAATACTTTATATTCTGATTGTTTAGAAAATGATTCCATATAGGTATTTGGAGGTGTTGGCACTTTTTACATCTAGTTACATCTATGGGCCAGATTCTCCCTACGGCAAGCATGACTACTGTTTTATATGTTTTAATCTGTTTTAAATTTTATTGTATTTATTAAATTGTTGTAACCCACCCTGAGCCCATTTACAGGATGGGCGTGATATAAATGTGAAAAAATAAATATAAATAAATACTTTATATTCTGATTGTTTAGAAAATGATTCCATATAGGTATTTGGAGGTGTTGGCACTTTTTACATGTTTCTTTTCTACGCGTGTGATCTAGTAGTAGTGTTTGTTTTTTGAAAATAAAATCTGGAATCCATGTATTGTTTAGATTACTGGAGTGAGAGTGATAAAGAAGAAGCAGACACACCATCAACACCCAAACAAGACAGCCCACCTCCACCATATGACACGTATCCACGACCTCCTTCGGTAAGATTTCTGTAGTTGTTTGCTCAAAGGTCTCCATTTTAGTTCTTTTAGAAGTGGAAGCTGTGCAGTCTCCATTTCAATTGAGTTTGTATAGGAGCACTTTTTGGTGGTTTATGCCCAAAAAATCCTCTGTAGATGCTTGCTGTTGGAAGAGTGATGTGTGTATTGGTTCTGCACCAACTGTATACACTGAATTTCCCAAACCAGTGCCTCTCATTTGATCTTATATAAAAAGAAATGGTTTCGTATTGCTGTTAAATTTAAACCATATCATTTCCTATCAAATATTTAAAAGCTGCTTTATTAAAACATTTGTTTAATATTGAAGAGTTCTCTAGAATAGCCTAGAAACAACAAATTTTAATTTAAGACAATACTGATCTCTTGATACGTCCCTCAAGAGACCAACACCTACTGGAAGTACATGGCACACAGAGAGTGTCTGGCTGTCATCACCCAGAGCCTTCTCAGCCCTGGCACTGACTCAGTGGAACTTTCTGCCTACTAACATCAGGACCCTGCGGGATCTGTTACAGTTCTGCAAGGCCTGTAAGGCAGAGATGTTCCACCAGGCATTTAGTCGAGGACGGGGGTGGTGGTGTTAATGGTCTAACGACCCTTAGTGGTTTTAACATCTAGCTGGCTTTTAACTGCTTTTCACCTCCTTTCCCCCATGCTGATGTAAATTGAGGGGTTTAGGAATATATATTATTGTGCCATGCAGATGTTCAGTTTTATGGATTGGGATTTTAGATTGTGTATTGTATTTATATGTATTTTGATTAATTTTTTTGCACACCGCCCTAAGCCTGCTTGCAGGGAGAGCAGTATAGAAGCCTAATTAAATGAATAAGCAATAATAATACTGTGCACATTGCAAGTAAAATTGAAGCTGATCCCAAGATAAAACAGACAGCATTCCTGAATTAATATGGACTAAACTTCCCAGGAAACCATTTTCTTTTGGTGAAAACAGCATTTTCCATGGTATGACAAACCATTTCTCCAGTTTCTCTCAAGACCAGTTAGAAGGCAGACTGTAAAAGTTATTGGGGATTGGCTGTGAGATCATGAGGACCTTTCCTGCAGCCACCTTAGTGTGGGTCTTTCCGCAGAATTCTGTGCCTAGCATCAGTCCAGCAGCTAAAGACAGAGGTCTCTCAGAAAGAGTTATTCCCACTCTGCTAAACCAGTGCTTATCTGTTCTTAAATAGGAAGACAACATCCCCACAGCAGCCCTTTCTTAATTGCATTTTGCACACTGCCAACAGTTCCTTGGACTGATCCTGGAAAGCTGAAGTAGACTAATATATGCTACCAGCTGCTACCAGCTCTTCCCACCGTCTTGTTCAGACAAGTGATTTTGATCTCTTTGTGGTACACGGATAGCTGACTTGTGAGTAGGGCTACAGAAGTACTTGCACCATCTCCTGTTCTTTAGTCTGTTGCCTTTTCTTAGGGTTTTAAACCTTAGGTCAAAGGCTCAGCACCAAGGCTCACATCAAATAAACCAGTTCATTTTCAAGGCTTCTGTGCGGTCCCACATGGGACTGCAGTATGCAGGCCGACCATCGGGAGGAGCTAGCGAGCTTATTTGTAGAATTTTTATACCCGAGAGGGCTAGGCTCCAACCAGGAGGCGGTTTCCCGCCCAAAATACCACCTGACCTGGGCGGAGCCTGCCCTCTCCCCTCAGTTCTCTTTCTGCCGCCATCGAAAGAGGACTAGTTACAGCGAGCTGAACAAATCAATCCTGAGGGAAAGAGTTTTTTCCTCAGAAGATGGCAACAAAGGAAAAGAATAAAGAGAAGGTGGCCCTCTTCAAGAAATGTAAGCGCTGTGGGGCTAAAATGGCCCAAAATGATGAGCACTCGGCTTGTGTGCTCTGTCTGGGGGGGTCCCACAACATGACCGGCTGTAAGGCCTGTAAAGCCTTTACTCCAAGGGCTTGTGAGGGGAGAAAAGCCCGGCTGCAGGCAGCTCTGTGGGAGAGGGCCCTTCCTGCGACGTCCAATGGAGAAAGGGAGAAGCCTAAAACGCCATCAGTATGCTCGGCACCAGTGGCAACACAAGTCTCCCCAGCGGCCGCCCAGTCTCGCACTGGCCCAGAGCCACCGGCCAAAAAGGCCAAGAAAAAGAAAACCCAGCAAGAGAGACAAATGGCTGGTACCGAAGGGATTGCGCCCGTAGCACCGCTAACGACTCGGCGCCGAACATACTCCCCAGCGGCCGCCCAGTCTCGCGCTGGCCCAGAGCAGCTGGCCAAAAAGGCCAAGAAAAAGAAAACCCAGCAAGAGAGGTCTTTGCCTCCCCAAATGGCTGGTACCGAAGGGATTGCGCCCGTCGCACCGCTCGGCACCGAACATCCCATTTGCCTCGGCATCGACACCACATTTGACGTTGAGGGGACGTTCGCCTCGGCACCGAGAAGATCACTCGGTACCAAAACAATGGAACCAACCTCCGTCGGTACCGACCATCGGTACCGAATCAATGGAACCAACCTCCATCGGTACCGACCATCGGTACCAAAACAATGGAACCAACCTCCATTGGTACTGACCTTTGGTACCGAAACAATGGAACCAACCTCCATCGGTACCGACTATCGGTACCGAAACAATGGAACCAACCTCCATCGGTACCGAAATTTCTCCAATGTTGGAGATCTGCAGATCACCTTCTCCAAAACTATTACAAATGGGTTCGAGAAGTCCTGCCCCGTCTCTGCACTTACAAATGCCTACAGCATGGCATCCCTGTCACTACGCTCAGAGGCAACGGTCACTGTCACCCATACCAGACCGGGTGGAACAGGTTGATTACATCTCATACGGAACCAAGGAAGCTGACTTGGCCAGTGAGTCGCAGTCAGAACCCGGGTCTGACTTGAGGTCGCTTCCCTCGCCTGAGGAAGTGATTGCTGATCCCAACGCAGTATCTCCATCTGAGGACTTCTCCTCCTTTGCGGACCACATAGTCCGGATGGCCAAAGCCTTGGACTTAAAACATACGGCTTCTCAACAGCGGACTCAAGACTCGCTTATGCATGCCCTTTTCACCCCAGATACCGGGCCAATGGTGCTACCGTGTCTCCAGGGGTTCACATAGAATCACTGTTCCATCAACCTACCAGTTCTGAACAGCTGAAAAGAATTTGGCTACAGCCAGAGTGACATTTTTTTGTTTGTCTCTCAGAAGCCATGTCACCCTAACAGGGAACAGATAGAATACTGCAGAGCATGGGAAGAATGGTCTGTGCTCACTCCTAAGAAGTATATTAAGTAACGACAAATGGGGATTCCTCATGTTCACCGACACAGCAAGACACCCGATGAGACAATCACTGGAGGACTGTTTATGGGACAAGAGTTAAGGCTATCAAGTTAAGAGACCCACAGGAACTTTACAAAAACACAGCGTGATCAACTGCAGCATTCAAGGACTGCCATGCAGTGCAGTACATGTGCTACAAGTCATAGAACCGCCTTAAGAGGTCCCTTTTATAACTTATAGGAAACAAGCATCTGTGAAGATTGCTTTTTTTCCCTGCCACAATATTTTTGAGTAACAACAGTGGAACTGGCAGTGGAAGAAAAATGGTCACTTTTGAGATAAGGAGGTTGGTTCCATTGTTTCGGTACCGATAGTCGGTACCGATGGAGGTTGGTTCCATTGTTTCAGTACCGAAGGTCAGTACCGATGGAGGTTGGTTCCATTGTTTCGGTACCGATGGTCGGTACCGATGGAGGTTGGTTCCATTGTTTCGGTACCGATGGTCAGTACCGATGGAGGTTGGTTCCATTGTTTCGGATAAAGACAAATTATAGCATCAGGGTATTGTAGTCCATACTACAAGCTTCCCATGCCCTGTAGAGCTTCCTGGAGGAAAGTATGCATGGCATACTTAATCTGTGAACAATTACAAGGCAGAAAGTATTGCCTCATCATCCAAGAAAGGATGATGTCTTTCTACCATCTTTCTACCATGCCTATGGTCTTTCTGCAGTGCAGTCTTATCTTCACAAAGTTCTGCAGTGCAGTCTTATCTTCACAAAGTTCTGCAGTGCAGTCTTATCTTCACAAAGTTCTGCAGTGCAGTCTTATCTTCACAAAGTTCTGCAGTGCAGTCTTATCTTCACAAAGTTCATCTTGGTTATTCCAAGTTACATTTTTATTCAATAATTAATTGTCAACACAGGATGCTGCTGCTTTGGAAGTCATTAGGGAGGCTGTAGAAAATAGTATTGTGTTAATAGTGGTAGTTGCTAATCCATTGTGCAGTCTCTGTCCTATTGGGATTTTATGCAAAGTAACTAAAAAAATCGAAATAGGATTATTTGCATAGCTGGCCTTTTCCAAACCTTGTTCTGGGTCACTAAATACATGCCTTTCTACATGAACCAACATTTCAACCACAACATATTCACCACACAAAACTGACATAGTAAAAAGGTCTTGTGCTGTCTTGACTGCGCACAAATGTACTATGGCCTCTGCCCTAAAAGCATCTGCACACTAATGTGGAACACACTATGTGTGTATTGTTTTGAATTTGGAATTCAGAGTTATGATGACCCTGTCCACTTCCCTCCCTTAGAGGCAAGATTTTCCCTCTGTTTTTCTTTCCCTTTTCCTGGCTGTCCCACCCTGTCAAACTACACTATTTTAGCTATTTGTTCAGGCCAGGAACCTGAGGGAAGGATCGGGAGCTCACTTTAACTTAAACAGCACTTGAGGCATTGAAATTCAAAAATAACAAAACGTTTTATTTAACATATAGGGGAAAGGTCAGGTGAAATAAGGGGTTGAAATTTCTGAGGTAAAACTAGTACATGCACAGACTTTAGTCCTTATGTTTCAGGCTAATGAGAGTTTCTTAAGCTGTTCCCAGTGACTTAAATCTTTAGGTTGAGAGGCTTTTGTTTCAGTGTTTTCCCCATACACTTTGGTACACTTACTATGAGTATTCTCTAACTCTTTTGATTTCCAGAAGGCTGGTATACTCTTTCCAGTACTCAAACCCCTTCTCTTGAAACACTAGTACTTGCCTTGAGTTTTTAACTGACTCTTAAGGTCTCTAAAGACAGTTTCTAACCACACCAGACCAGGGATCCCTGCACTCTTCAGAACTAACTCCCTATTTGACTGGGTAGGGAATTTTCTTCTCTCTATATAAGATCTATCCCCTTTCCTTGGCCCAAATGGGAGTCTTCACATACTTCCCAAACTTCCTTGCCAACTTTCTCCCAGTTCTCCTGTCTGTGTTAAATTGTTCTCAGTCAGGGCTAAATTCCAAAACTGTCAGTACTTGACTCAGTCAAGACTGAAATCTGACTCACAGTACTCAACTTAGTCAAGGCAGAAAACTGACTGAATCTCTCCTTAGCACGCAGCTCTCTCCAGACTGTTTCTGCTTAGCTAATGCTAAACAATCAGATTGATTGGAGAAGCCTGTCACTCAAGGCTTTCTGTTTCTGTGAAGAATTAAACGTTCACAGTCCCGCAGCTGTTTGTACAGCACTTCTAAGCTTTTAGAAAGTGCAATGAGTATAGCTAGATAGAAGCAAGGTGAGATCTTTTCCAGTGGGACTGCATAACAAAGTTGCAGGAACAATGAAGATACAGTTTTAAATACATTTATTTGTGCCTAAGATAAAGGTTGATGGGCAACACAATGAGACAAAGCCAGATTGTGCTCTGAGATCCCCTGAGAGATACACACCTAATGTGGCCCCGACATCTGAGTTTAAGTAGGCAGCTCTGTCAAAGCCAAGCTTATCTTTGTAGAATTCTTTGATTACAACAGACGTCATACCAGTGTACTTGCAGTTTTGTTTGCAGGTGGATGCTTGGTAAGCATTTTTATGGCGCTCATTTATGGCATGTTGTCATTGCAGATTTTATAACTATCTTTTTGACTTGGAAAGCTCATGTAATGCACTAGAAAGTATGTTATACATTTTTAAACAAAGTGAATAGAAATCAGTTACTTCTATAAATTGTGAAAAAATGTGTACACTTTATCATCATCATCATTATTATTACAATACTAGATCTATGTTCATATTTCAGATGAGCTGCGCAAGTCCTTATGTAGAACCAAAGCATAGCCGGCTGTCATCCACCGAAACATCCCAATCACAATCGTCACATGAAGAGTTCCGACAGGAAACAGTAGGGAGTACTACTGAATCGCCTATCCGCAAAACAGCCAGCCAGAGACGTTCTTGGCAGGATTTAATAGAAACACCACTGACAAGCTCAGGGCTGCACTACCTTCAGACTCTACCCCTTGAAGATTCAGTTTTCTCTGACATGGCTGTTATCTCTCCAGAACATAGGCGGCAATCAACTCTTCCAACTCAAAAATGCCACCTACAGGATCACTACGGCCCTTTTCCTTTAGTGGAGGGTGAGAGAATGCAAGTGCTAAATGGGAATGGGGGAAAGCCCCGCAGTTATACTTTGCCTCGGGATAGTGGGTTTAACCATTGCTGCCAGACCCTTTCAGTCAGTGCCTCCACTCATCAAGAAGAAGTGCCACAGAAAGAGCAAGAGGAGGAGGAAGAAGAAGAAGAAGGCAGGGAAATAGCATCAGAAAACCAAGAAGATGAAAGTAAGTACTGATTGCATTCTGATTTTGAAAATAAGTAGAAATAGCTTGTATGTAGAAAAGGGATATTGTTTTACTTGAATATACTGCTTTTCATCAAATTTGCCCTTGTGTTGAGTCCTAGTATCAAGTAGTGTTTAAGGGATTGAACTATGAATCAGGAAGTCCCTGATACCAATCTCAACTCTGCCATGAAAATAGTAGGAGGCCTTAGGCAAATCTCCTGTCTGCATTACAAGGATACTAATACTTAAATTCTTTACCAGGTGTGTTTGTGAAGGTTAATAAAATAATACTTATGAATGGTTTGAACTCTTGGAATTGCTATATGTATTAAATATTATGTAGTGAAAATAATTCATTTAGCTTTTGATGTACGCATTTTAACTTAAAAGATTTCATTTGCAGCACAGTTAGTATCCAGATTAGTTATTTCAAATTTATTTCATGTTTTCTTTTTCCCATTTAATTTTTTCTCTTTTTTTGCCTGCTACTATTGTGTTTATGTCTTGGTCACTATTCCCTTACAATTGAGAATTACTTGCTTTTATGATAAGGGCTTTTGTGTAGTTGTAGTACTTTCAGAATGCAGATATTTTCTGACAACATGAAATATTAACATTAAATAGTATTCTAATAGTGATGATCAAATTAAGAAAACCTTCCTTGTGGCTTTTGTAGGCATTTTGGTCATGTATTGTAGTCATTCTGAGTACAATGCTTCTATCCAAATCAATAATCAGAACAAATGGGGGTCTTGCACTCCATAGAAATGCTGCTTAATTAACCCCTAAATATTCTTGCCCAAGCAGCCGTGTGGGTTGCTTATAACGTTAGGCTAGCCCTAGGGCAGTTAGCAAATTGAAGTATAGATGTGCATATATGTTAAGTGCCGTCAAGTCGCTTCTGACTTATGGCGACCCTACAAATTAATGTCCTCCAAAACATCCTATAGTTTAAGAGCCTTGTTCAGTCTTGCAAATTAAGAAGTATAGATAGATGCCACTTTAAAACATAATGTAATACTCTTCAATAATACGTCACTACTTGTTGTTCGTACTGCAGATCTCATAAAGGAACTTGTTACAATCCATTTAAAATATAAATATATTAAGTACTAAGGATAGAAGCTAAAACATTAATTTCTTCTTGCTATGACTAGGAAAATTAAAGAATGGGAAAACTTTCATCTGTTTAATTTCTGATTGTCAGTATTAAAGTCCCAGGGAAAGTACAGTGATCATGTTTTATTTATTTATTTGCAGGATCCTTAATAGTCCTGTTGGCTGGTTCCATTACATAAGTTTAGCTGTCTGCACAGGTCAAACCCTTTGCTGTCAGATATAGTGATACATAGCACTACAGATACAATGGTGTTGTCATAGGAAAAGTATAAAATGTGAATTGGAGAGTCACATTCCTTGTGAAGTACCTCAGATATTTACAGCTGGTTACAGATTCTTGACTCATGTCTACTTAATGTTTGCAAATGTCCCTTTTACACCTTATATGCTAATTGTGGTAAATGTCAGTATATCTGCTGTGCCACATAATTATGAATTGGCTCTTGTAAAGGAATTTAGAACAAATTCTGCTATAAATAACTCATATGTTATACCCAAATATATTAAAATTTAAACTTAATAGGCCATTTAAGCATTGGATGATGTTCCTTAAATACAAAATATGTTCTCTTTGGTTTTCTGTACTGATTTATGTATCAGTTATAGTTATGACAGCAACATTATTCTATTTATTTCAGTTTTGATTCTTCATTTTACCTGGGAAGTACAAAGTATTGTGCATTCTTTTATTGATACTGTGTAAATCTAAGCGATCAATTTGTTTCCAGAATGTGATATATAAAATAGACTTTGAAGCTATAGATCATTTGAGTTCTATGCCCTAGGTAGAATTTATGAAATATGGTTCATGTTCTGGCTACTTTGTTAGTTCTTTGAATCTTCACTGCCAAGTATGCATCCCACTGGAACTCTTCAGTGTAATAAATGTTCATGTATCCTGTGGTATCTTGGAGGTCCAAAGCTATAAAAAATGACAGGTAATGTATCATTTTAGAAATATACCTGTTAATCGAGTTCCGGTGAGTGGTTTAAAGTACATTACCATTGGAACCAAAAACTTTGGTTCTGTAACAGAGGGCTTATTTTAAAAGTTATCTTCATCTCTGAAAAAATGCAGTGTTACTTGAAAAGAATATTCTCTTTTGTGTTCTTAATGGAGCCATTGCGAAATCTGAAAATGAATTTAGAAAAAACAACTGGCTGTTGTATATGTTTATTTTATACTTCATTATGTTTCAGATTTTGCTTATAGATTCCCAGCATAATCTCTTTTAAAGCAAGTCACCAAAGTTTATCCTCTACTATTGTTAATGTTACTACTTACGTTTGCTACCCGTTATCAGAATGTTTTAGTTTAAATTCATTTCCCAGTTATTACTACCTCTTTGGATTTCCCAGTAACTACTACCTGTTTTGCTTCAGTTCCGGTTTAGGTTCATAACTCCTTATGTTGGTTCTGTTGCAGGTGCTAAACGTGTTTCAGCCTCTCTGAATGATTAGTCAAACCAATAATCAATAAATCAGTGACATAGCCACATTGCTGATCATGAGGTGATCTGAACCCAACCATCCCTAACGTGTGAGAACTTTAAACTTCTTTCCCACAAAGCATATTCTTTCTGCTGCCAGGCAGCTGGAGAAGGCGGCACTGAGCTACGCCTGCAGGAGGCAGACACAGTGATCCTGGTTGGGCTGCCCTCTCCTGTCACCCGGTTGTGCCAGCAGGGAGCTCTCAACTTCGCACTGACCCAGCTGATCTTGGACTGGCTTCTCTTGCAGCCTGGTTTAAACTGGGCTGCAAGAGAAGCCAACCACAGCTGAGTCATCAGAGAGCCCTAAGGTCCCCACCACCTCGGCTGCAGTCTGCCTCTCCGCTGTTTTCAGATCTACCCAAAATTCCTGAATATATCCAGGATTTTCTAGGGATTTTTCCCCCTGGTTTTCCCAAGGAAACCCGGATACATTTGGGAAGCCGAAATATACTTGAAAAATACTGGTAAAGTATTTTTCAGGTATACTTTCAGCTCAGGTAGATACGAATGCACACCCCAATCCATTTTCTTTAGTATTTTACTAATCTGGATGTGATTTGTGGGAATGAAGGCCATGAAACCTCCTTATTAAGCAATTACAGCTAAAAAGACAGATAGCTTTCTATTTATTATCATATTGTTAGTCCTATTCCATCTGCATAGATTTTTAGTGTAAATATGTTGTGTGGTTTCTTCTGTTTAAAAGCAGAAAAGGAATGTATGTTCAGAACTCCTCCACACTAAGTGATATCATTTTCAAGAATGTCTGACTGATGTTTAGATAGTGATGTTAACCTACCTGTACCCAAATTACCTAAATAATTGCTGTCTGGTGGCCAAAATTCTTTTTTTCAACAACGTTCTCAAGCAGGTGTTGGATACAAAGCTTCAGATAGTCTTGGTGGAGTGGATTACCTAGACCCATTTCAATCTGGATTGAGGCCTGGATTTGAGAAGGAAAGAGCCTTGGTCACTCTGACTAGTGTTGCTGGGAAAGTGACAGGGGCAGTATATCCCTGCTGTCCTTGTGAAGAAAATGACGAGACCGTGAGAGGGGCACATTGTTTTATTGTTTTGAGTCTTACCTAGCCAGCTGGTTTCAGAGGATTTCTGCTTGGCCCTGTGGCATCTTGTCCCCTGTTGTTTAACATAAACATGAAACCACTGAGAGAGATCATCTGGGGATTTCGAGTGAATTGTTACCAATATGTGGATGTCACCCAGCTCCGTTTCTTCCTAACAGCTGAGTCAGTTGGATCAGTTGGAAGTCCTGAAGAAATCCCTGGATAAGGAAATAGGATGGTTGAGGACTACTAAAATGATGCTCAGTCCAGATGATTTTGAGGTGGTGATGGTAAATCAGAAAGCTGGTTGAGGAGTGTGTCTGTCTTGGAGAGTTTTGGACTCCTCCTGGCTCATAGCTTGGAGGTGCTGCTCGATGCTGGTTTATGGTTGGAAACTGAGATCTCTTCTGGGGCACATAATGCCTTTTACCATTTTCAGCTGATATACCACCTTCAGGCGATCCTTGAAAGGCATGATGATCTATACTCGGATCACATCTGGGTTATCTTATTGCAATTAATTTTATGGGTTATCTTTAAAAATTGTCCAGAAACTTCTTGATGCAGAATTCCTCAAGGAAATTATTGTTGGAGGATAGGTACAGGGATTGATTGAAAGGTAGGAACAGGCTGTCTTTTTGTGTCCAGGGACAATTCAAAGTGCTAATTCTTACTATTTATGCCTTGGGGACAAGGTACTTCAGGTGCATCGCCTCTTGCACTCTTCCCATGCCCTGTTCTCTGTGCCCCACTTGCAGTTGTCAGAGGTGGCACCTCCCATTTGAGTAGGGTTATCTGTTGGAGTAAGCGATTCAAATGAAACTTCCAGTGCAATCACATGTCCAGTAGTACTTCTCTCTGGTCAACTATATATTCTCCTGAGATTGTATAGCCAAATGTTCCCGAAATATTCTGTAAGTTAACCAGAGAGAAGTACTACTGGACATGTGATTGCACTGGAGGTTTCATTTGTATTTTTGCCCAGTGGTTTAACTTTGGAACAGTGGTTTTCTGGTCTTTATTTCATATTTTGTATATGTTTGATTGTATATATTTTTACATATTAGCCAATATGTTCTATTTGCATTAGACCTCTGAGGAAGGCCTGTGAAGGCCGAAACGCGTTAGGTCTATTTTATCAGCCTTTGTATTTTTATATTTATATATGAGGTATGAATGAGCCATTATTTGTTATTTTAATTTGTGTTTAATAAATACATGTATATTTTTGTATGTTTCATAATTAGATTTTTAGAGTTGGCCCTCTTCTATTCTTGACTAACCTTTTTAGGTTCCTAATTCTAGGTTTTAGGTTCAGTTTT